GAATATGCGGCTTTATCATGTCAGTCGCTAGAATTATTATCGTGGCAATGGATCAATCAAACGCTAAATACGCCTATTTATTTCGCCCGAATACAAAGGAAAGACTTTTCACAAACGCTATTAGAAGACAGCAGATAGAAATAAAAAATACACGCTCGCTATCTCATTCGCTCGTATCTAAAGATACTGTTCGGGGATAATAATAATAATAATAATATAAAAAAAAAAGAAAAAAAAACGATATTTTTTTCATTGTCAAGGAATAATTATTTATAATTATTATACCGTGATTATAATTTGTTAATTTAACAAAAATCTTGTTGATGCAGCCAAAATACAATTAGTATGTAATAATCATGGAATTACTTAATAACGTGTCTATTAATATTATAGCTTTAATCATACACATATATATATATATATATATATATATTTAACTAATAATACTTTTTCAACTTTGTTAAGTTACCGTTAAGCTTTGACGTTCTAACTTTCTCAGATTAATAAGTACAACACGAGATTTCATTGGAGAATATGAATTATTAACGGTTATGAAATAGCTCTTATTTATCATTGTATTTAGAAAGGTATGAATCAAATTTCACAAGCACCGAAGGAACTTCGTAGAGAATCTAACGATAGGCGAATCCACGATTACAATTGATCCTATTTTGTTTGCATCGATCAAAAGAACACATAATGAGAATAAGCTTTCAGGTATAGAAAGCAAAGGAAGATCATTAAATCGCAAGAAACAGTATATATATATATATATATATATATATATATATATATATTTATATATGTATGTTATTCCTTTAACTCAATGAAAAATATATCCTGCAACTTGCTTAAAATCTATATTAATCGAGTCTATTATTCGTCGCAAATTCGTCCGAATGGCACATTCCTGGTTACGTTTTATCGACTTTACTCTCTTTGTTTATCTCTTCAGCATATCCGTGAAATTTAAACTTGTGGCTTAACGCATTTGCTCTCGTGCTCACTTGATCATGATTATGATCGAATCTCGCAGGAAATTCGAAAGCCGATTCGAAAATGTCAACGAGCCGGAATGTATTGCAGCTAGTGTATACGCGCACATTACGTATGTGAAATTGCATTTATGCGAGGCACCTCTACGACTCCTTTCTAATAATGAGCTGACGAGAACGAGAAAAAGACACAAGTACGTGCGGCGCAGGTGTGTTTACTTAAAACAAAACACGGTCGAGCGCTCGACGCCAGGGAAAAATCATGTAATGTATGGCCTTGCACAGGTTTTATAACGAACATGGTAACGTAAAATTGTCGCGTGTTTAGACATATAAATGCGCGATTTTATCAACTCCCTTATCTCATTGGCTGCCAGATTCATCTGACAATAATCAGCGCATTCATCAGCGCATACAAAACATAAAAATAGTTCGACATTCTCAAAGAATGAAGCAGAACCTAAGATATTTACGACCGATATCCTCATAAATTCAAACTGCCCGAAGCTTGCTCATCAACTTGTCGCTTTTGCACTACAATTGCCCAGCCTCGGCCCATCTACTTCTCAATCGAATACCACGTTCGCCTTAATCACCGTCTAAAAAAATTTGCACTAGCTTTTATTTGTATTTGCACATTTAGGAAGCGTCGATGGGTAAAATGTGAGGTAAAATGTCAACGCGGGCACTCGCGATCGCATGGGATTTTAGAATAAATTATTGCGGTACCGCGCGACTTACAACGACGCGTTGTTGCTAATCACAGGCTCCTCTTTGCTGGCACATTCCTGTGATTATACGTCGAAAGACTGGCAAACGAAATAGAAGAGGGGAGAACGAGGAGGAGAGGGAAAGAATTAAAAATGAGAACCAGGGTGAATGGAGCGTCTCACGGGTAGGGGATACAAAAGGCTGAGAACCGGGTAGAAACTTGGTTAATTGACGCTTGTGCAGGTGCGCAGCTTGTACCTCATAATCGGGCTTCTTCTCCTACCTTGCCCGACTCTCCGTAAGTTCGCGCCATATCCAGTCGCACATATGATTGTTCTTCCTGTTCGCCGAGCCTCCCTCCCGTCTTAGCGCTCTTTAATTAACCGCGTGCTGACCTTTGGGATCCAGGTCGCGCGCAAACAAAAACGAGTTTCCAAGGTTCGACGGTCGCGAGCTGCTCATCCTTATCGGGAAACAATGGGGCGAAGGAGGGAGTAAGGAGGCGGCAAACGCCGAAGATACAAATCGCGATCGTCTCACGGCACGTAAACACGTGTCGTGGCCCGTTGCGTCACGTGGGGGATCGGACGAATCCATCGAAGCGCATCGGGCGAAATGAGCGCTCCGGGACGTTACCCCGTTAAGGACCGCCGCCTTTCTCTATTTTGAAATACACGGCGAGCAATGCTGAGGGATGGAGTATGGGGGAAATGAGAAATCTCGGTGACGAGGAGCAACGAGCGATAGAATGGATCGCAAGAATCGGGCAGAGACGAATTCACTTTTCACGCCCTATTGCTTTAACCGTACACTTCGCGGGCGGATTAGCGTACATTACAGCTCGTTTGTTATTATCAGTAAAAAATGAATTACGTTAATGCATACGTGTAATCGTACTCTCTCTCTCTCTCTCTCTCTCTCTCTCTCTCTCTCTCTCTCTCTCTCTCTCTCTCTCTCTCTCTCTCCCGCTGACAGATCGTAAGCTTTCTCTGTAAACGCCATACGTTCGTACATCTCCTTCTTGGCTGCGTCTTGCATTAGGTAGACTAGTCTAGCACTTTCTATCCTTCCTATTTCTCTGGAACGATTTTTTGCGCATCTTAGAACATCAAAGGATCCTCTCTTTTAGCCCAGAATCTTCATGTCCTTCATCACTTTATTATTCGCAATGTACGTGTAAATGCTCTTCATAAATTCCATTCCGGTCGTCCGTATTTTTCTTCTCCATTCGTCTATTTCTCGTTCCTCGGCACATTCGCTTAACCTACTTTTATCAATAACAAGGAGAATAGGTGACCTTGAGGGGAAATTTGTCACTCGGTATTAAAGCCATTGTGAATGGGATGTTTGTGAGTCGCGTTCTAGATGGCTAAGGTATACGACGGCTACATTTCATCGTCGTTTGCATAACACGAGATTACGCGATGCTTTTGATAATCCAGTGAGCTGGAAAACATCCTGCCAACTTGTAACGTATCCTCCAATCCAGCTGCACGCACGTATAATACGCGTGGCATTATGTAATCCCGAGAGGTTCATTTATCCCAAGCATTTCGTATTTTTATCACTAGTCGGAGCATTTATAAATGTCAATTATCGCTAATGTCTGCCGTTAATAGCTTGAAATACAGTGTAAAATGAAACATCCGGTCGAGACAATTCGCACAATTGCATCGCCTAGTAATGACTGACTTATTTCGCAATATGATCATCGGTTCGCGAGCGAAACTTTTGCAAAAAAAATATTAAGGTTGCGCGTAAATCATGACAATTGCGTAAATTCGCGACGATTAGACGGGAAAAGTGATGAAGAAGGGAGAATAAGAGCGCTAATCATATTGGAATCGTATTGTTGCGAAACGTCTGCGCAGTGACGAAGGAAATGGCGCGCGAAAATTCAGAACGACTAGCGACAGCGAAGCCCCAAGGTTGGCTGAATGTGGCTTTGAATCGAGTGTATGTTGAGCGCTGACGATTAACCTAACCGTAAACAAATCACTATAGAATTATTGGGCATTGGGTGCAGACGATCGAATCAAACGCATAATAAACATAAACGGTTAGTAGCGCCAGGCGATAGTCCGGCCAAGTTTTGCGTTTCCCCTTTTCACCGGCTTTTCCGCTGTCGCGTACGCGCGCCTCCGCGAAAGGGGGTCGCTGTCAAGTGATAGGAGGAGGAGGAGGAGGAGGAGGAGGAGGAGGTGGATAAGGAGAAGGGGTATGAGAAGGGATAGGGACGTGGGGGGTGGGGGTGGGGGGGGACGAACGGAGGAAAAATCGCGGATAGGTAGTCGTGAGTCGCGGGAGATTTATAAAAAGGCCGTGGCGCGCCGTAAAGAAAGGGGGAGGGAAAAAAGGAGCACCGTTAGACTAACGTTTCGTAAAGGCCTGAGCGCACGCGGCTTCGCGTTCGCGCCCGATTGATTATATAGCCGTGTAAGCTTATGGTTAGGTAGGCGTTCGATCGGTACACGCGGACGACGTTTTTCCCGTTTCTGCGCTCGCGACAGGAGGGAAAAAGGACGATGATCGGAGGAAAAAACCGGTCGAGAGTGAGTGAACGAGTGTGCGAGATAGATGGACCGATGAGCCGGAGGATTGATTATTGGTTGGGAGGCCGGGTGGGGGGGGGGGGGGTCGCGATCGTGGGTCGGTGCTTTGGTGATTGGGGTATGGGGTTTTGGTTGGGGTATGGTAGGGGGTGTTATCGTATTTTTCATTTCGTCCATTGTCGTGGCTGCTCTTCTTGCTCGTCGAATCCTCGTTAAAGTCGACTTCGAGGTCCAATGACGAGGCGGCCGCGACCGTCGGTACTTGGCGCCCGAGAGCTTGACGTTGAGACGCTACTGACCGTTGGGCCGAAGGGGAGAAACGATTCATCGTGGCAGCCAGTTGGGGGTCCCTTTTTCTCTTATCGGCCAATAAATACTTCCGATACGCTCCGCAGTCAGGGATGCGCAACGAGTGGAGGCGTGTGCGCGCGCAAAAATAAAAGAACTAACAATAAAACAAAAAAGAAGGTAGAAGAAGAAAAAAAATTAAGCCCAAAAGCAAAGTCGATGCTTTCTATTTCTCTGCTTACAATCTCTTGCAACGATGCCAGGTCGCGAGTATTAAAATATGCCGTGACCAGGTTAGTATGGGTGCGCAGCTTGCGCAAAATCATATGTTGTCGTGTTATTCAATACGGCACTGCGCCTTGATACGCTTGAGCGATAATATTAGAAGAGAAAAATAAGGACGCATTGACGATGCGGCAATCGAGGCCGTAGGCGCGGAAAAAAAAATAAAAAAAAAAAGAAAAAAAAAGCACACATAACCTGCGAATAACGAGGGGGAGCCAAATGAATGGTAAAAGTGCTCGGAGTCGATCGTCGTCGCGCCCATTAAGCGCATTAAGCAGCTTAACGTGGTCTGGGTCTGGGCAGGGGCTGGGGATGCTGCTGGTGCTGATTAAATTGTTGTTGCTGCTGCTGCTGCTGCTGCTGCTGCTGCTGTTGCTGATGATGATTATGATGTTGATGATGATGATGATTCTGTTGCGGGTGGTATCCGTTCCCGTTCTTGGCGTGTTGCACGAGGTGTCCGCGCGCGTCCAATATCAGTCCGTCCTCCAGACTCAGTGCCGCGACCATCTGCGCGATCTCGCGATCCTTCTTCTCCTCCTTGGGCGGAAGGCCCGGCGGACCGCCATTTTGTTGTACGCCGGCGAAGCCAAGTGAGGCTAGGCTCCCGTGGCTCCTGCTCCGATGCTCCGCCCGGATGCTGTAAGAAAAGGCTCTCTCGTTTAGGTGACCCTTACGCCGATAGATTCCCGTACCGAAACGAGACTCGTTCTCCGGACTGTCCGAGCTCCGATGATTATTGTAGTGCATCCCCTCGGACGGCAACGGGGTTACGCTAAGATCCGCGTGCGAGGCGGCCATTCGCCTCGACTGAACGGAGAGGCTCGAGTCCATCGGATCCTGGGGGTGGTGGTGCCGTCGGCCGCGGTTCCCGGTCGTACCGTAACCGCCCGGGAACAAGGCCGAGGGGGGTCCCGGGACTACCGGGAGCGGTGCGTAGACCGGTACTATGGGTGCCGCCGCGGGGATGGGCCTCATGCCGCGGGTAGGGTGATGGTGGGCCTTGCGGGGTAGGGTCGCCGCCGGCACGAGAAGAACCGGAGCCGGTCTCGCCAGGGTTCCGGCGACCGAACGACTGCCCGGTGCCATTTGATGTGGATGGTAACCATGATGGGATAACGGCTGCTGCTGCTGCTGCTGTTGTTGTTGTTGTTGTTGTTGCTGCTGCTGCTGCTGCTGATGTTGTTGTTGCTGTTGCTGCTGCGTTTGTTGCTGTTGTCTCGGAATCGGATGCCCGAGGGTGTGATGTCCGTGGCCGTTCGCGTAAATGGTCGCTTGGTGGTGATGGTGATGGTGCTGCTGCTGCTGCTGCTGCTGGACTTGTTGCGCGTAGAGATGCTGTTGCATCTGATCGTCGTGGAGGGTGCGGTTCTTGAGCTTCTTGAGCTTCTTGCTGGCCTTCTTGCGGCTGGACGACGTATTAGACTCATCGATCATGAGGGGTTGCGTGGGCGGTGGCGGTGGTGGGGGCTGGGGGGCTATTAGTTGACGGGGTCTCGAACCCTTTGTGCTGCGTAGTGTGCCCTGTTCCTGGTAGAGGCCGTCGATGTCGTCCCTGCCCCGGGCCCAAACCTTATGATTTTCGTCACCGTTGTAGAGGCTGCCCACGTCGTCGTTCGAGCCCGTCTCGAGCTTCGAACTCGGCGAGCTGCCGCTGTTATCGGCCAAGGTCGTGCTCGAGCCCCCGAGGGTGTGATAAAGGCTGCTGGTCGATTGGTTGTTGGTCGGGGTGCTGGCACCGTTACCATTGGGCTCGAGGCCCTTGGCGAAGCGGCTGTCGGCGTAAGCGTGGAAACAGCAGCGCACTAGAGCGTTCGCGGCCATGTCGCGCTTACAGATGAAGGCGTGGCACTCGAGGACCTTGATGCCGGTGGTCCTGCGAAGGACGGCGGCAAACAACGGTGGTCGGTTGGCACTGGGTATGCGCGCGAATGGCGAGTCCAGAGGGAAGAAACGCTTGGCCGAGGTTACGTGTCGAACGGCCGCGCAATAGTGGAGAGCCTCGATGGGGAAGAAGCGCGTGACCTTTTTGCGATGCTCGTCCACGTTCTCGAGGAGCAGGCCGTTGCTCCATACGCTGAGCCAGGAGTCGATGCCACGCGCACCTAACGCACCCTGCTCCGGATAAAGCTCGCTGAGCGGTTCCTGGACACCGAGGAGACCCTCTTTGCTGGTGTGAGGTACCGAGCTGCCGAGATAGAGGACACGACATCGACAGTACGGAGTCGAGGAGTCCTGATTGGCGCCCCTCATCTTCGACGACTCCGAACGTATGCGCCTCTTCACTAGGAACTCACCTCGAGACGTAATGTAACCCGAGCCAGGTCATTCACACTGGGCACCTAACCCAGACCCCTTTCCCCTCTCTCACTCGCTGTATCTCCCCCCGACCCTCTCGCTCGTTCCTTCACTCTCTCTCTCTCTCTCTCTCTCTCTCTCTCTTCTCTTCCCTCTTCACTCTCTACACTCTCTTCACTCTCTTCACTCTCTTCACTCTCTTCACTCTCTTAACTCTCTTAACTCTCTTCAATCTCTTCAATCTCTTCTCTCTCTTCTTTCCCTCGCTCTCACTTCGGTCGTCTTTTCTTCGTCGTTTCTCTTGTTTCTCGTCTCCGATTAAACTCTTCAGCAAGCTCACGGATTCAGACACGAGCTCCTTTCACCTTCCGCGATGGATCGATACTACGATTACGAACGCACTGGATCCGTTCTCGAAGGGCCCAAGCCAAACCAACCCGAGGACGAGTTCCTAGTGTCGAGCTGAGATCGGAGCCGCGAACGCACGTGAGCCGCCGAGCATATGGTTGAGGGGAGCGCGGCCGCGATTCGATCTGAATCCTGGATTCGCGAGAATACTCTGGGTGACCCTTCCCGTCTATGCGGCTGTCACTCGCGCGATTGCAAGACTCGAGCAGTGGGTGGGGTACTGTGGATTATTGTGATACCTTTCGCCGAGCGCAACGACGAAGTTCGCCTTGCAGCTAAACTTGGCTGGGTCAGCCGTCCAGTGCAAGTCGTCACGGAGAAGCTTGGTGCGTCAGACCATTATGGCTGCCTTTGGTTCTCCCATGCAGCCCAGCGACGACTGCCGACTCTAAGCGGCCGCTACAATCTTCCCCACTCTCCTCTTGCCTCTTGCCTTCTCTCGTGCACCTATGTAAGGGCTTCCTCCTTCACGCCGCAGGCCTCCCCGCTTCTTCCCTCCCGCGCTCTCGCACTCCTCTCACTCTCTCTCCCTCCTTCGCTCGCTCGTTTGCTCACACACACACACACACACACACACACACACACACTCTCTCTCTCTCTCTCTCTCTCTTTCTCGCTCGCTGTCTATCTCTCTATCTCTCTTTCTCTTACGCTCCGTGTTCCTTTCTCCCTTTCTCCCTTTCTCTCCCTCTTATCCTCGTTAACTCTTCCCTCGGTTCACCGTGTGCTCCTTCCCTCGCCTCCTTTCTCGCCGTCTTGGTACCCACTGTGAATAGATCGGCGCGGCGTCTTACAGTGCGTTGTTGTGCACTGGATCGACCGCGTGCTTTGGAATTCGTCGGGGGAAATTGTATTTCAGGGTGTGCGTGTGCCAAGGAATCCAGAGACGATAGGCGCGGCACACTATCCTCTCGATCCTGTCCCGATACGTCGTCTTTCCCTCCCTCTCACTCTCTTTCTCTCTCTCTCCCTCTCTCTCTAACTGTCTCTCTTTTAGATATGCATTCATACATACGCCGACACGAATACAATCTGTGCGCGCGTGCAAGCGTATCCCTGCGCGTGTGAACGTACATACATATACATATACATATACATATACATATATATATATATATATATATATATATATATATATCCTTAGAGATAATCGTTTGAACTTGATAGATTTTGATGAAGGAGAGTATTGATGTCGATGAGCTAGGCGTAGGGCCGCTCACTCGAGCCGTCCTTAACGATGCCCTTCTCCGTCGCAGAGAAGGTCGTGAGGAAATGCCGGTGAACGGGTGGCGGTGTTGGTGATTGTGGGATATAGGGTGGGGTGGGGTGGGGATAGGGAGAGGATGCGGACACGTTCGGCTGGTACCGGAGGCGCGCACGACACGGCCTCGACGGCGACGATGCGAGAGACGGACCGATCCTAACTGAGAGGGCGCACACGGACGTAAGTCAGCGATGCCGCGACTGCCTCGCCCCTCCGGCCGCCACCAGGTTAAGGCAACGGAGACGTG